CCACAACCTGAACCCCGTCACAACCCTGTAGCGCTGCAAATGTTGACAAGCAGCCGCATGTCAGACAAATGCTACGCAAAGGTCGTAACCTCCCCAACGCCCCAGAGCAAATTTGCTGACCTTGGCGCCCGCAGGGAGATAGCCAAGCTGCTGTTCCTATAACAGGAAATTTTTTCTTAAGAGAAGGGATTTCGACCTTTATGAAAGATGCTTCACGCCTTTCCTGTTTGTGGTTTACAGCTTGGCAGTAACGAAGGAGAAGCGAGCCTTTCGGAGAAGGGCGCTACGGAGACCACATCCTGCCTGTAAAGAGGTATCATGTGGTGACACTGATATGAACTGACCCAGACCTGGGGCAGTACTACATATGGAATGGGTCTCTGAGGCAGGTCCTACCTAGGAGTAGGGAGGAATGGCTGCCAGCAGAGACTGACAGACTGGTCTGTCTAAGGGAAGACACGGGTTTCACCGAGAGGGAAACCTTACCGTGGAAGAATACACATCTGGGATCGCCTGCAGGGAATCAAGCCATATGGACACCTAGCCCAGGAAAGGGACTGACCGGAAACCCGGGCAAGCTAACACCAATACTGGGCCTGGCGTCAGACTGCTCCACCCAGTCTAACTGCCGGGGGTGCTAGAGAATACTCAACCAGGGTTCGCCGACCGGGGAACTTACTGGAGGAGGAAAAGGCGCTCGCATCCTCAGGTGAGGGGGAATGGCGCAGCAAGCATGACACCGGCCGGCTCTTCCCACCACTTACCTGTTACACAACACACGGGAAGAAACTGGCTCAACGCGGAGACTATAAAATCTCACGAAGGTGTTCGGAGTCACCCAGCCCGCAGCTCTACAGATGTCTGCCAGAGAGGTGTCTGGGATTGGTAGGCCAAGGCGATGGCATCCACTATCCAGTGGGCCAACCTCTGCTTGGAGACAGCCTTCCCTTTCTGCTGACCTCCATAGCAGACAAAGAGCTGCTCAGAGCTTCTGAAGCTCCGGGTGCGGTCCATGTATATGCGCTACGCTCTTACGGGACACAGCAACGCCACGGCTGGATCTGCCTCCTCCAAGGGCAGTGCTTGCAGGTTCACCACCTGATCACAAAAAGGGCATGGTGGGAACCTTGGGCACGTATCCAGGCCGGGGTCTCAGGACAACGTGAGAGTAGGCCGGCCCAAACACAAGGTACTCTTCGCTCACCGAAAATGCTTGGAGGTCCCCAACCCTCTTGATGGTCAGGCGGTCAGGAGCGCTGTCTTAGCAGACAGGAACTTAAGCTCAACTGAGTCCAGTGGCTCAAAGGGATCCCTCTTAAGGCCAGCCGGGACAGTAGAGAGGACTCCCAGGAGGGCACCAGGGGTGGCCTAGGAGGATTTAATCTTCTGGCACCCCTCAGGAACCTGACAATGAGATAATGCTTTCCCAGGGACCGGCCGTCCACTGCATCGTGATGTGTTGTGATAGGCTTGCCTCGTCGAGGGAGCTCTAGCCTGAGTGATCGTGTTTAACACCGCTGGTGGCAGATCACTTAAGTCTGCCGAGTCCCGTCCAGGAGCCACACGTGGAGGTCCCAGAGATCTGAACGCAGGTGCCATATGGTGCCGAGCCCCTGAGAAAGGAGGTCCTTCCTCAGAGGGATGCGCCAGGGAGGGGCTGTCACGAGGACCATGAGTTCCGAAAACCAGGTTCGTGTGGGCCAGTACGGCGCAACCAGCAAGACATGTTTCTTGTCCTCCCTGACCTTGCACAGTGTCTGTGCGAGAAGGCTCCCTGGGGGAAACGCATACTTGCGTAGAGCCCGAGGCCAGCTGTGTGCCAGTGCATCCGTGCCTCGTGCATCGATCAGGGAGTAATACAGCTGGCAGTGGGAGGACTCGCGGGTAGCAAACAGGTCTACCTGGGCTTCCCCGAATCGACTCCAGATCAGCCGGACTGTCTCGGGATGGAGTCGCCATTCCTCGGGGAATGTGAGCTGTCGTGAGAGCGCGTCGGATGCACAATTGAGCTCCCTCGGAATGTGGACGGCGCGCAGCGACTTGAGCCGCGTCTGACTTTAGAGGAGGAGATGACGTGCGAGCTGTGACATGCGACGTGAACGTAGACCTCCCTGCCAGTTGATGTACGACACGGCCGCAGTGTTGTTCATGCGAACCAACACGCGCTTGTCCTGTAGCAGTAGCCGGAACTGCCGTAAGGCAAGATGCACTGCCAACAGCTCTAGGCAGTTGATGTGCCAAAGCAGTCGAGGCCCCCATCCAGAGCCCCAAGGCTGCCTGCCCGTTGCATGTAGCGCCCCAGCCCGTACTGGAGGCATCCGTCATGACAATGACATGCGGGGACACTTGTTCTAAGGGCACCCCAGCCCGTAGAAAGGCAAGGTTTGTCCAGGGGCTGAACCCCCAATATTATTTTCAACCCTCATTCAGACCCTTATCCATTTTTAAGGGGTGGCTCCAGTAAAAGGCCACTGTTATGATTGTCTAACGTCATTCCATAGGAAAAGTATAGTCCACTATATAAATGTAAATATGAGCTCTATAGATCAGTTGTACCAACGCCTCGTGAATAAGTGTTTAAAAAAACATTATCCATACAAAACCATTTACAGACAAAGCATTATGAAATTGTTTAACTACTTATGGTTTGCTGCAGCTGCTGTCAGATTCAATACTGTTGGCTGCTTCATCTTTCAACGAATGTTTCTTTGTGTGAACTCTCCATTACACTGTACCTCGTTTACAAAACAATCTTCAGTCAAATGCCCCGAACAAAATAAACCATCTGTTCCTTCATGATACTGAACCCCTCCGAAGTCCTCACAGAAACACAAATGTACTAGTATGCAGGCGTAAAGTGGGCGTGGCCTATGGTGGGACAATGTGATAAAATGATTGGTCGATGCCTTGTCATATCCAAATAAGGTCAAGTAGTAGTGGCTAATGGTAGTAATTGATCTCAGGTTAGTTTTATAATTTAGTTTCAATTTAAGTTAACAGATATGCTAGTTAATTGTTCTAAATGGCCTATTTACCAAACCCTGGGTGAGATGATACAAAACAAACACATATATTAATAAAAGAAGGACTCTTCATATTTAATGGTATTTAATTATTTGTATATTTCATTCAATAGGTTACACTAGAAAACTTTTGTTTTATAAAAGTTGTTATAACCACTGATCTATAATAGAGAATATATTATAGATCAGTGGTTAACCAACGCTTTGACTGTGTTTACGTTGCATACGCCGTTTTGACCAGAGGGTTTCGCCATTGTTTCGTGCGCTTCGAAAGAGTGAATCATTTTGTGAAGGAATTGGTTCAATTGATTCGGACTTCCGAAGCTTTGTCACTATTCAATTCAGCTTGAGATGATGATATGATGATTGTTTTGTTTGGTAGCGTTGAATGATGCTGCAATGAACTGTAGGTCGGTTATAACAGTTTTTCTTTTGTAAAAGCACAGTGATGTAGGATGTTTGGCTAATGAGTTTTAGTGTATGAACTTAGCATAACAATAGCTGTACAAAGGAAGACTGCAATAAACACTTAACAGACAACTTGTATTATTTTATATTTGCACATAAAACTGGTCACTTTCCTCCACTTCCATTTCAAACATCCATAAGGTGACATGAACTATCCATGTTTCAGTATTAATAAAGATGCCAAACATTTTGAATCATTGATATTTTATTATGTTTCTCCTCAGAAGGTCAGTCTGGTAGCTGAGCCCATCTACAGGAATGAGTGTTTTCCCTAACATCTCTTCTCTCACACATCTACCCACAGCACATACACTCCTTGGTAATCTATCACAAACCGGTTAATGTAATGCGTATGACCACCCTGTGTGACAATTACACATGATTATGGTGATCCGCTCACATGAACATCTAGTGTGTGTTTTTTTTAAAGTTACAGTTAGTGTGGCATGGACATCACAATTAGTTTGGCATGGATTTGAGCAGGCAGGAACCTGTGCACTTTGGACTGTCTCTCTCTCTCCAGGCAGATCAGCAAGCACTAGTGACTGTCACGCCCCTGGACTCTTTGTGTTGTGTTTTCCCTCCCCAGGTGTGTCGTGTTCCCTTTAATTAGTCATTCCTTGCACCTGTGTTTTCCCAATTACCCAGTGTTTAAAAGCCCCAGTCCTTTCAGTTAGTGTTTGTCGGTCCTCAAACATCATTCCTTGTGTTCCAGTGTCTCCTACGTTCCCCGTGTGATCATTAAAGACGGTGAATTGAAGTTATCTCCGTGTTTCCTCGTTCCTCGCTCCTTGCCTCCCGAGAATTGTGACAGTGACGTTCACAAAGACAACTGCAAAACAGCCACAAGTTACAGGCAATATCAGACAGTAGAAGTCACAGGTCAGATGTGTGAACGATATGCTGACATTTCTCTGTTTACTTGCTCTGTTTCACTGGTAGAATTTGATCTCGGCTTCCACGCAGTCGAAGAACAGATCCTGGCCCCTAAGCATGACCTCGATCTCCTCAAGATACTGAGACTCCAGGTATCTCATAGTCTCCTGTAGAGAGACTCCAGCTCCTGACACACACACAAACACACAGGGTTGTTAAAGGAATATTGCAGATTCAGCGTAAGTTAAGCCCAGTGAGAGCAGTTGTGGCATAATATTTGATGACTACAAAAATAATTTCCAATTGTTCCCCCCTTTCAGCAATAATATGGGTTACTGCCAGGCACTTACAATGGAAGTTAATGGCCAATCCATTATTAAAATACCCACTGCTTCAATAATATAGACACAGGACATAATCAATATGCATGTTAACATGATTTAAAGCAGGGGTGTCCAAACTCGGTCCTGGAGGGCCGGTGACCTGAAGAGTTTAGCTTCAACCCCAATTAAACACACCTGAACCAGCTAATCAAGCTCTTTATAGGCATACTAGAAACTTAAAGGCAGGTGTGTTGAGGCAAGTTGGAGCTAAACTCTGCAGGACACCGGCCCTCCAGGACAGAGATTGGGCACCCCTGATTTAAAGGATTAGTTCACCCAAAAATGAAAATTCTGTCATTAATTACTCACCCTCATGTCATTCTAAACTCCTAAGACCTCCGTTCATCTTCAGAACACAAATTAAGATATTTTTGATGAATTCTGAGAGCTCTCTGACCCTTCCATAGACAGCAGGGATCCTAACACAATCAAGGTCCAGAAATGTAGCAAGGAGATCGGTAAAGTAATCCATGTGACATCAGGGGTTCAACCGTGATTTTACGAAGCTACGAGAATACTTTTTGTACGCAAAGAAAACAAAAATAAAGACTTTATTCAGCAATTCGTCTCCTCCATGTCACCATGGCACCATTTTGGAGAGTATCCACTGAACGTAAACAGCGTATGCTATTCTGTGTCAGCTGCGTCACACGGATACGTTGTTTTCGTTCAAATCGTAAAATCACGGTTGAACCCCTGATGTGAACTAACCCTTTAAGTGCAAAAAATCTCTTATTATAAAATGGTTAGTTCCAGTTCTCACTTCTGATTGGTCATCAGCTGTGTTTTATTCACGATAAAGCACAGCTATGACTGCTTCACCCAATATAGCACAGAAATCAATAGTACAGCAGAAACTGCTGAGATATAATAAACAGCATTGCTGATCGTGAAGCGCAAGCGAAATAATGAAAACTAAAACACAGTACCCCCCTGATTCGCATGCTCTTGTTGGCCGTTGGCTGTGGATGGAATCCCAAAGACGGACTGGTGGAGGCTCTAATTATCTAATCAGAATCACTGTATTGCCACTGGATGGAGACAGACCGGTGACAAAATCCAGGGCAACATATGCCCAGGGGTGGGAGGGGAAGGGGATAGGGTGAAGCAGACAGAAATTATAGAGATAACTTTGAAATTTAAACTGACCACCTTACCAACGGATATTAAGCCAACGGCCATAAACAGATAATCATCATCTGCCATAGCCAGACACCAAACACTGACCGCGCACACCTGGGTGGGGCAACATTTTAAATAAGTGTGACACCACTGCAAGATGGCAAGGTGAACTGGCCAAGGAAATAAAGCAAGCCCACCAGGTGCCCCACAGGCACCTCAACTCCACCCAGATCTCACCTGACATGACCCTCAATGTCCCAGGTTACAGCCCCCACCACATGGCCTGAGGACAAGATGGCATCAGGAGGGGGCGCATTATTTGGGACACAGAACTACCACGACATCTCACCTTTAAGGTCCTCGGTGAGCCCATCCAGAAATGTGCCACCAGTGCCACCGGATTCCAGCCGAGGGTCAGGCCAGAGAGTAAAGCAAACAGTGACAGAGGATAATCTGAGGGCCAGAACCTGAAGGCCATAATGAAAGTCAGCACTGGGGTGGGCATTGACTGTGTGTGTTTTCATTTTTTAATTGTAACAATACATTCAATTAGAATAATAAGTTTATTGCACTTAATAACAGTGAGGTTGAGTGGGGGAACTATGATGTCACTTTGTAGGCCGATCGGCTGTTAGCATCACACTGGCTCCCTGGACAAAAAGCCAGTAGGATTTTTCCATAGGCTTTTGGATTATCGCAAAAAATAAGCTCTGTGTTCAATCATAGTTCATGAAACTTACACGGTATGTCCATCAAGATAATCTATACAAAATAATATAACTTTTATGAATTTTGAAGTCTAAATAAAAGCGCCAGAACTTAAAAGCTAAACTAAATCATTATCATAATCATAGACTCGCTGTCATAGCGCAAACAGTTTTACAGTTTACTCCACTATTATTTGCCTTTCTTTCTTTTTCTTTCTTTCTTTCTTTCTTTCACAAACATATGTTAAATTCATTTAACAGAGACTGTTCATGGGGCTTTTTTTATTTTTTTTTTACTTTATAGATTCTAAACTTTAAAGGCTGTTTGAAAAATTAGCAAAATTAGGTTTTGAATTAGTCTGATATATAAAATTAATCTAACAACAAAGAATAGATCAAAAAATATACTTTTAAAAAATCATTAATTTAAATTAAGTCAATTAATTTTCATCTTCGATTATTACAACTAACTTACCCTTTATGCAAATTACGAGCGCAACACTCACAGAACTACATTTCCCAGCATCACCTCGCACCTCAAGCGCACGCTCTAGTATCGCGATATTATCTAAAATCCTTTGCGTCGTATCGCGAGATTACCTTCCTGCTGTCTAGTACAGCACTAAAAAGCTGTCAGTGAGGTTAGAGGGGTAAGAATTTCTCAAATCGGCGACTGCCGTTCAAACAGCGGTGTGAATGTCCAAATCTGTGCTTTGGTGTTATTACAAACGTAACGTGTGACACTGAGGAGAAAAATCGGCAGCGTTCTCGTCCAAACTGTGCAGGCCAACAGTCTCTGAACTAGATCAAACAGTGCTGTAGCACAGCGAGCAAATGGCGTTGAAAAGAATCCAAAAGGTGAGTCTGTGTGCATTGACAGGCTGTGAGGTGATGCGATCCACACAGTGTCCTGCTCATCATCTTCTAATGTTGTTGTGATGTAAAGCAGTCGCACTTTTCTCATTTTGTCCCCATCTGGTCAAGACAAAGACGGATGGCCAATGGTGGATGCATGCAGTCGACAGACGCACGGTGTCTTTCTGATCACTACAGATTCACACACATGCTGTTATAAACAGTCACCGTCACTTAGAGACGGCTAATCGTGAGTGTTTGTTTTGCGCAATATGTGATCGACAACGGCTATTGTCGTTATGCGATGTTGCAGCGTAAGGATCTGTGCGCGTACTAACGCATGGTTTGGTGGTTGACGGGTGCTGTTGTGACAGATTTGTGGCATGTAAGTGCGTGGGCGCTGGAAACATTGTTAAATTGTGTCTTTTCTGTTGTCGGTCATCATGAATGAGCGAAGCGCCTCTGGTGCGCATGCGTGATGGGCGACAACTGCTTTCAAGTTGCCAAATGCTGAACCCCAATGTCAGTGTGTCCATATATGGCTTGGCAAATAGGGCACTAGGACAGCGGAGGGTATTTTTAACAGATTCGCCACCCTGCCCGCATAACCAGCGACTTTAATCACAGAAAAAAATCACTTAGAGTCTGTGTATTTCTTTCAGCGATTCCATAGTCTGAGTGTTTTATAATAAACGAGTCGAATGTTGTCCTTCTTTACTCACCCTCATGTTTTGTTTTTCTAAATGAGGAGAAATTGGAAAAATCTCCAACAATGACCAGCTCCAAAAAGGAGTATTTAAAAAAAAAAAATAAAAAAAAAACTATTGACTTGTGTGCTATATTCAGAGTCTTCGTGTAAGGAACAGCCCAAAATTTAAAGACACCGTTCATCCAAAATGAAAATTGTCATCATGTACTCATCCTCAAGTTGTTCCAAACCTGCATGAATTTCTTTCTTCTGCTGAACACAAAATAATATATTTTGAAGACTGCGTGTATTCAAACCTTTGATGGTCCGCCTTGGCTTCCATAGTGGGGTTTTTTCATACTATGGAAGTCTGTGGAGTGCATCAACTTTTTGGTTACCCATATTCTTTGAAACATATTTTGTGTTCAGCAGAAGAAATAATGGCATAAATGTGGGTTTGTTTCTAATACAAAAAACTATATAACTTCAGACTCTGAATATACAGCTTATATTAAAGATTATCTCAAGTACTTGCGTATTGTACAATACTAAAATCCTTTGAGTTTGAGTATAATTTTTGTGACTTAATTGCTATAATAAACACGACAGCTGATAATTCACCTCAGATCATGAAAAAAACGTAAAGGAAACAAGAGTGTTCAATCTGTGAGCAAACAAGTATATTTCATAACAAGGTTTGCATCAGTCAATGTGTATGTATTTTGAGTAATGTTAACATCATTGAATTTTAATAAATTGATTATGTACTTAAAGAGCCCCGCCCACACGCTCTTCTGATTGGCTGTAATTTATGATTGATTATTTCACATCTGACACGATGGACAGATAAATGTACTTATACCTGGAATCTTATCACATTGCAACTGGTTAGTACATTAGGATACTTCACGGTGTGATTTGTAAATTTTGGAGCTTGACAGCCATGGCCGCTGTAAATCGTGCTTGTATGGAAAAAAGCTCTTCAAAAATTCTGACTTTTGAAGCCAAAATAACAATGTACAGGATTGTAATGACTTGAAGGTGAATAAACAACAGAATTTCCGTTTCTGAGTGATCCCTTTAAGGTCTGAGAAGTCCTGTGAAATAATGCATAAGTTGATCCGTTCATAAAAAATATCGGATGCACATTTTTAGATATTGTATTTAAAATGCATACAGACCCATGACTAATGTTAGATAGACATTTAACTTGTGCCGAATGCCATGTTACATCAACAAAGGCTCAAGAAAGAGTGTCAACAACAGAGCAACAATAGACTGTAAAAGCTCCGCCCCTTTAAAAGCAGCACAGATGTAACACAGTATGTGGTGTGTTGTTGTGCTGCTCCTGCCAGAGCTTGTTTTATAAGGACCAGTCTTGTGCAACGATATCAGAAATTAAAACCTGTTTATGTGTATTTAAGCATGTAATAGCAGTTGTGAATACAGGCTATATGTGATAGATACATTGGACTCCACCATTGAAGAAAACTATAATTATATTTTTGAGACAAATTTTTTTTTAGCTTTCCTTACTGTGCGTGCACATTGATTTTATCTGAACTATACAGTCTTTCCTGGGGAGGATAAACCAATACACTGGATTGCATGCTTATGGTATGATATACTGTATGTCATGCCATAAACCGGCAATCCATATATGATATATTTTTTTATAACTGTCCCTAAATTCAGCATATAAT